ACACACACACACACACACACACACACACAATCTGCTTTCTATTTGAATATATTTTGGCAAAGCTGAATTTTCAGTAGTTTTTACTCCAGTCTTTAATGTCACATGATGCTTTAAAAATATATTTGTGGAAATAGTGATACATCTTTTTCAGGATTGATTAATATTATTATTTTTTTTTTTTTAAATGGTATTATTATTTTTTTAAATAATAGTATTAGTATTTTAAAATATATATACATCCTTTACTCACACCAAACTTTTGAACAGTAGTCTGTCCTAATACTTTCCTCCAGACATGCATTGTCAGATGCTTTTTTGATGTGTGTGTGTTTTGTGGGTTTGTTGATGACTTGCATTGATGTGTTCAGAGGAAGTTTGAGCATTTTTTGCTTGCAGTGATTTCTTAAGAGGAACTAGAGTATTGCGTAAACTCTGACACACCCACACTCTTACAGACCTCACAAAACTGTGTATTTCTCTCTCTGTTTGCCATACATTATTACTATGTGGAGACTGGCCACTCGCCCAGTTTCTGACCCATTTTCCCCTAGCCCATTATCCACCTGCTCAGAGCATCATCATCTCACACACACACACACAACCTTGATACAACCACCAATCGCACAAACACACCTCACACTCGTGGCTTTTCTCATTAATGAAACCAGATGCGGCATTTGCAGGCTCACCCAGTGTGTGAAGTCGATGCCAGAGCTTCTCACCACCAGCTAAAATGGCTTTCTCACACGCTACTCTTAAAGGTTAAGCGTTGGCCTTAGGCACTGTTAGCTAACTTTCCATCTCAAATATTAAAACAAAACATTGGCGCTCTTTTGAAAGCTGCTCTGAGCGGCAACACTTTAGTCAAATAAAAACCCTCTGAACAAATGCAAGTAACCCAGTAAACGTGGGATCAGGCCTGGGTTACTCTTCATGTTTGTGTAGTATGTGTGTCAGGGTCATTCATTTGGCAATGCCGCCCGAGATAGGTGTAAATCCATCTAGCTGTGTCCTGAATCCTGATCTAAATAATGTTCAGTTGTCCTGGTGACTCGGATTAAAAGGATAGTTCACCCAAAAATGAAAATTAGCCCATTATTTACTCACCCTCAAGCCATCCTAGGCGTATATGACTTCCTTCTTTCAGATGAATCCAATCGGAGTTATATTAAAAATTGACTTTGATCTTCCAAGCTGTTTAATGGCAGTCAGCGGGTCTTGCAGTTCATCAGTCCAAAAGAAGTTAAATAAAGCACATCCATCCATAATAAAAAGTGCCTCACACGGCTCTGGGGGGTGAACAAAGGCCTCCTGTAGCGAATCGATGCGTTTTTGTAAGAAAAATATCCATATTCAAAATGTAATAATCACCTGGGACTTTCTGGTATCCTCTTGTGTTCCACAGATGAAAGTCATACAGGTTTGACACAACATGAGGCTGACCATTTTTAGTTTTAGATGAACTACTTGCGTACATATGCACAATTTTACCATTGTGTTTTTGAGCAAGGATCCACTTCAGGTTACTTCAAGGGACTTCCTCTGCAGTAAGATGCACTGTAAGTCACCTTGAATTTAAGCAGCTGCCAAATGAATTAATGTAAATACATATGCATAGCACATTTGCATAATTATCAAGCATTATACTATGAGACTGCTGAAGAATTATTCCTGGTTCTATTGGTTTCAGGCAGGTTTTGGGACTTGTTGAGTTAGTTAGACGTTCGGCTTGAGGAAGTTTAGCCCGAATGGTTCTTGGGGCCAACGGTTATAGAATCCCAACCCTGTGCCAATGGCCCGCAGTAGTTCGTGTAAATAATTTAGCACCTGGTCTAATCTTACCAAGACCTTGGTGTTCATGCCCTTTAGAATTTATCAATGAATGCCTCATGTCTCCATAGACACACACACACACTCATAATATAATGTAGAGGAAGTAACAGGTGACATCTGTAGAGGTGGAAAATTGTTTTGGGGGAATTTACCAGCGCACTTGCATTCCCACATGCAAACAGGCAGCGAATGTTAGTGCAGAAGTGGCATGTTGATGTGTGTGTGTGTATGCGTCTTTTGGGGGTTTCGAGGGGGTGTGTTTGTGTGAATGGTGTTTTGAACATCTGTTGCGGCTCAGGTGTCAGATAAACTGTCACCCGTTTCAGCACAGAGGGACAGCGGAGTAGCTTTAAATGTCTTTTCCATACTTACACATGTGCTAAATGCACCCTCCCATCACACTGGCATAGAAACAGGTGCATGGGAGTGTTTCTTAAAGGAATAGTTCAGCCAAAAATGAATTTTGTGTTCCACAAAAGACAGGAAGAGATTAATTTTTATTATTGGGTAAATTGTTCCTTTAACTACCTAAATGAACTTCCTGTTAGTTATTAGCTGCATCATTAGATGAAAGAAAAAGGAAGAGATCAGGGGATGGAAATAACAAAACGGATGTGTAAGAGAAGCAGAGGCGGCGTGTCCTGAAGTACACAGACTCTGATCCCTAGAGAGCAAATCTGAGCACGCTAACAGGGTAAATACAGGAAGGAAACAGGCTTTCTAATGGGCAGCCCTTACACATGTTTACGTTGCTCTTAGGCATTCAGAGATCAAGTGTTCAAAGATCATGAGTCTGTGGAATAAACACACATGCAAATTCAAAGACACATTGAATCCTCAGATGCTCCTCCAGTTGTCTTCAGTTTCTCATCTAGTTCTTCCTGGGAGGTTCTTATGTTTTGTAATTCAATTTTAGTGAAGTTACTGGACAATTATAGTACTATTCAGAAAGATATTTTTTGAGAAGAAATTAATACTTTTTAAAGGGTTAGTTCACCCAAAAATGAAAATTAGCCCATAAATTACTCACCCTCAAGTCATCCTAGGTGTATATGTCTTTCTTCTTTCAGACGAATCCAGTCGGAGTTACTGTATATTAAAAATTGTCTTTGATCTTTCAAGCTGTTTCATGGCACTCAGCGGGTGTTGCATGCATCAGTCCAAAAGAAGTTAAATAAAAAGTGCCCATCCATTAAAAAAAAGTGTCTCACACGGCTCCGGGGTGTGAACAAAGGCCTTCTGTAGCGAATCGATGCATTTTTGTAAGAAAAATATCCATATTCAAAACGTAATAATCACTTTAATGTAGCTTGCGCTCACTGTTGTACACTGGAAGCAGTTCCGGGCGAATGACCTATGGAAGTCGGCTTTGTGCATACGCCGCTCAGAAGTGACGCAAGCGGAAACGCAGGGGAGAGATCAAAACAAAACAACGATCACTAATTAGAAGTACAAAACGAGGATTTGTAAAGAAGAATGTCGGAGGATTTCGATATAAGCCAAGAAGAGACTGGTTTTCCTTTGCTAAAGTAAGGAAACTTTGCTTCCTTTGCTCCTGTTAACAAACGTTGGTTTTCACGAGACTCACCGGCGCATGCGCAACGCTGACCTCATACGTCATCCGCCCGGAACAGCTTCCAGTGTATAACAGTGAGCGCAAGCTAGATTAAAGTGATTATTACGTTTTGAATATGGATATTTTTCTTACAAAAACACATCGATTCGCTACAGAAGGCCTTTGTTCACCCCCCGGAGCCGTGTGAGACACTTTTTTTTTATGGATGGGCGCATTTTATTTAACTGCTTTTGGACTGATGCATGCAACATCCGCTGAGTGCCATGAAACAGCTTGAAAGATCAAAGACAATTTTTTATATAACTCCGACTGGATTCGTCTGAAAGAAGAAAGTCATATACACCTAGGATGACTTGAGGGTGAGTAATTTATGGGCTAATTTTCATTTTTGGGTGAACTAACCCTTTAATAAAGGCATTTATAAAGTGACTAAATATTTCTATTTTAAATAAATTGTTCTTTTGAACTTCATATACATCATAGAATCTCAAAAAAAGTCATGATTTCCACAAACAATTGTCACAGTTTCCACAAAAATATTAAGCAACAACAACATTAATTAATAAGAAGAAATGTTTATTGAACACCAAATCAACATATTAGAATGATTTCTGAAAAATCAGCTTTGACATCATAGGGAAAATACTATATTTTAAAATGTATTGAAATAGAAAATACTTTTTAAGATGTAATATTTCATAATATTACTTTTTACTGTATGTTCATCAAATAAATGCAGCCTTTGGGAGTAAAAGAGACTTCTTTAAAAAAAAAAAAAAAGTCTCACTGACCTCAAACGTAGAACGGATGTGTGCCTATTGTTTTCTCTCTTTTATACTTTTTTTCTTTCACATTTTCTTTTTTAACAGTATTATCGAAATAAGAGGTAAAGATGAAATTAGGGATGTGATTCAGCAAAAAATAAGCAGAAAGAAATGTATTATTCATTTATAAACCATCCTTCTAAATTGTTGCATTCCTTTCAGTGAGGCAATTTATGTAAGAACAGTTTTATGATGTTTACAAAGATTCATGATTAAGTCCTTGTGTGTGTAATTGAAGCTTTAAATATTTTATCATTCTTGTTCTGGTAAAGAATGATAGGAAAGCCATTTGTCTTATAAAATGGCTTAATTATGACCCATATTCCACCATGATTCTTTAATTGACATGACATACTTTTAACTCAGAAAATCCAGTTTCCTACAGTTAATTACGACTTCCTAGTACTGTTTATGTGTTCTCATCTCTTAAATGCGGTCGTTCCATCATTAGCTCACCTCTCTCTTTACACTATCACTTTCTTCCGCCCCCTCATACACACATACGCTCCCGTTCTCTCCACACACAGACTTGGTGAGGTGCCGAGCAGTCTGACTTTGTCCTTGTCCTAGATCTGTGTGTAATATGCAGGTTTGTAATGAAGAGTTACAGCGACAGCGAGCAGAAAATCTAATTCACACTGCAAGCGATTTACAGCACTTTATTTAATTAACATGTTATAATTTTATCTCCCATCTCTTTCTCTTCCCTTTAGACGAGGCCTGAATCCCCCCCACAGAGTGAAGTCCATCTCCATGACGACCTTCACGCAACAGGAAATAGAATTTCTACAGAAGCATGGAAATGAGGTAATTGATGATGGCATAGTCGAAAGTGCAGTGGTGTTTTTATTGACATGGCAAATGTGTCGTCATCTGTGTGGGCTGTCTGTGCTGATATCTGGATACCAATGAGTTGATGATTTATGAGGTAACAGATGCCTATGATAAGATAACAGGAATTTCTGGGATTTTTATTTTTTTTTCAATTTGAACACATGCATAGCTTGAACAGTGAATAACAGCTATAAAATTGTTATTTGTGTTAAAAAAGGTAGTTCTAGTATTTTTTTTAATTTTTTTTTTATATTATTATTTTTATTATTATATTATTTCTTTATTTAAATTTTTTATATATTTTTTTTTTTGAAGGCAGGTGTGATCTCTTCTAAAGTCTAGGTTTCTCTAAGAGCTTCTTCTAGGCGACCACTGATGAGACCACTTTTCTTCTCCCCCTTCCCTTTCTCTGTCTCTGCTTAACTCAACATTCCTGGGATTTTTCCCAGGTCTCGTGAGGCCTGATTTACGAGGATGAGCTGGAAATGATGTTGCGTGCCGAGAAGACTCTTTATTTGAGCGCTCTGTGTCTCATTACACACGTTATAATCTCCTGTTTAAACCATGATGAACTTCAGAATTGTGTGTGTGTGTGTGTGTGTGTGTGTTTTGTTTTAGGACGTTGTTTTATGTGGGTCCCAATTCAAACCGGCTTGAACACACAGCAGGTTTGGTGTATTAAAATCTCACAGCATCTGTCAGTCTGAACTTCTGATTTGGTGTTCGATGATGAGGGCATGTCACGCAAACTGTTGATGTTGGCAGAACTTCAGTAATTTGTCTAGCTTACTAAGTAACAGATGAATTTGTGGCAAAATATTGCAGAGTTTGGTTGCACGAATGATCTTTATGAACAACGCAAGATTCACTACTATTAAAAGTCTGAGGTTGGTAAGATTTTTTAAAATGTTTTTTGCAAGTCTCTTATGCTCACAAAGGCTAAATTTTTTGATAAACAATACAGTAAAACACAAATATTGTGAAATATTGTTAGAATTTAAAATAATACTTTTCTATTTGAATAAAATTAAATTTATTCCTGTGATGGTAAAGCTGAATTTTTATCAGTTATTACTCCAGTCTTCAGTGTTACATGATCATTCAGAAATCATTGTAATATGCTGATTTGCTGCTCAAGAAACTTTCCTTTAATATTATCAATGTTGAAAACAGTCAGGATTTTTTGGTATATAAAACATTTAAAAGAACAACATTTATTTGAAATATAATTTTGATCAATTTACTGTTGAACAATTAAATTTGATTCCATCCTTGATGAATAAAAATAGTTTTCTTAAAAAAAAAAATTTAGTGACCCCAAACATTTTAATAGTAGTGTGTATAAAGTGCATTTACCATCCTTTTAAAAGTTGATAAGCCTTTGTGTTTGGCTATTTTAAATATGCACAGTTCTTTTTTTTTTCGTGCTATTAACTCAAAGGTTTTTGAAACCAATAAGACACAGTTGTACAGAATATTAATCCTGTCAATTTATTGCTTGTCGGACAAAGAAAAAATTAACGTAATTAAGAGTTTATCTGTATTTAGTTCAGTAATTTGATGGTTGTTAAACGTCATGTGACAAAATTTATTGTTTCAATATGTCTTGCTATTTTTGATAATATTCAGTGGTCCTATATTTAGTATGCCATTCTGAACTGTTGAAGGCAGATGCACTGATTTCTGGGTCATTTTTGCGCTTTTATTTCATGAATGAGCTCAACCTGGTGTGTGTACAGCTCCTCATCAGAGTCAAGTGATTGTGTCTTCACTCTGCTGTTGCTATTCATAATTAATAAGCTGCTACCACTGTTTCCTAAGGGTGTATGGGTGTGTGTATGTGTGTGTGTTTACACACACAAATGTGTATCTGCATTGATTATATCTAAATGGAGGCAGTGTCTTTACTGCTGTGAGAGGTTTCACACATAACACTTGGTATGTAGTGGTTGCAAAGCCTTACGGTTTAATTTTTTATTTATCAGTTGTGTTATCAGAGTGCATGCGTGTTTGACTCAACAAGAAGAGTTTGTCAAATGTCATCTTGAGATGATGGTTTCCTTTTTAAGAGTGTGTGTGTGTGTGTGTGTGTGTGAGTGCGAGTGCATGTGTGTATTCAAAGTGAGACTTTCCTTAGTATGAATGCCTGCATTGTTTTTTCACACACATGAGGCAGTGAGAAAGAGATACTGTCTGTCTGAAGGATCTTTCTGTTTTTCTGTCTTCTCTAATAAACTGAGGATTAAAGTGACTTGAGTTGCTGTTAAAAAATGTCTTGTTTTCTGACATATGAAGTGTGTGTGTGTGTGTGTGTGTGTGAGTGCATGTGTGTATTCAAAGTGAGACTTTCCTTAGTATGAATGCCTGCATTGTTTTTTTCACACACATGAGGCAGTGAGAAAGAGATACTGTCTGTCTGAAGGATCTTTCTGTTTTTCTGTCTTCTCTAATAAACTGAGGATTAAAGTGACTGAGTTGCTGTTAAAAAATGTCTTGTTTTCTGACATATGAATCTCTGTTTCACATGTTTATGGTATATTTGAATGTCTGACCTCTCTCCTTCTCTCTCTTCGTGTGTGTGCTTTCATGTATATGCAGGTATGTAAACGGATATGGCTCAGCCTTTATGATGACAGAAACTTGGCCATCCCAGACTTCAGAGAACCTCAGAAAGTCAAAGAGTTTCTTCAGGACAAATACGAAAAGAAGCGATGGTGAGAGACAACATGGGCTGAAATGTTCTTTATTATATTTGATATTTAACAGGAATCATGTACATTCAGTCATCATTATCACACAATAAACCACTATGCAAAGTGAGCTGTACATTATCCCACTTATTACAAAACAAATAAATGGGCATGAGTTGTGAAAATAAAATATTAATATAAACTGAAATGCACATGTAAGTGGTTCTCATAGTCTTGATTTGCACTTTATTTTGCATTTGTGGTGTCAAATTGATTAATTTTATCCTGGTATTTCCTGAAACCTTCCCAGTGTTCACTATGCACCTCTAAGATTATATTTGTATAGGCAAATATTTTTCTCAGTATGGTAAGGATAAAATGAACACATTGTTGTGTATGTGTTCTCTTTTCATTTAAATGTCTTTCTCTCAGGTATGTTCCTCCAGAGCAGGCTAAGACGGTGGCGTCGGTTCACGCGTCAATCTCTGGTTCATCTGCTAGCAGCACCAGCAGCACTCCAGAGGTCCGACCTCTCAAAACATTACTGGGGGAATCAGTACCCACTTTACACCTCAACAAAAGCACACCCAGCCAGGTAACAAAACTAATATATACAATGCTATGAATAAAAGGATGCATTACATTGATCAGTGTCAGTAAAAACACTTATTTCAATTTCAAATAAATGTTTTTTTTAAGCTTTGTATTCACAAAGAATCCTGTAAAAAAAAAAATGTATCATGGTTTCCATACAAATATTAAACAGCACAAGCATTTTCAACATTGATAATGGTAAGAAATTTTGCTTGAGCAGCAAATCGGCATATTTGAATGATTTCTGAAGGATCATGTAACACTGAAGGCTGTACTAATGATGCTGAAAATTCGGTTTTGTATCACAGGAATAAATTACATTTTGAAATGTATTACAGTAGAAACTAGTTATTTTAAATTGTAATAATATTAGATCAAATATTTTAGATGAAATAAATGCAGCCTTGGTGAGCATAAGAGACTTACGCCAGACTATCCTAACTATATACAAACTACTTTCTTCATACATATTTCCGGTGTTTTTTTGGCTTGCTCTCTCAGTCTCCGGTTGTGTCACGCACTCAGCTGACCCAGCAGCAGCAGCAGCAGCAGCATCACGACAGGAAGTTCAATCTGCTTAGCGATCTAGGTGGCGACATTTTTGCAGCTCCGCACTCGCAGTCCACAGGCAACGCAAACTTTGCCAACTTTGCACATTTCAACAGTCATTTGGGTAAGAACACACTCGCGCTACACTAACAAACTAAACCATCCATTAAAAAAGGTTCAGGACAACTCCTAGTGTGATGTGGTCGCTTTCCCATCATGCTGCACTAGACTTATTGACAGCCACTGCCACAAAACTCTAATGAAATATAAACCACTAATGCTTACTGGCATCTCTAGAGGATAATGGTTGTGCGTTTGAATCGGTTAATGCCAGTAAACAGGTTCAGAGGTAAACACACACACCATTTGGGAGCCATTATGGCCAAACCTGCCTTGTCTGTTAAAATGTGCACGGCTGGAGCTAGTGCATTCTAGGTAGAGGTTTCTGTTCATGTCATCTGTATTTGTCTGTGAGTTTTATTTGTGGGTTTTTAGTGGGTTTGTGTTATTAAGCATTATATCATTCACTTTATATCAGTGTATGTTATATCTTCTTAAGCAACCAGCGTTTATAAGTCAGAACCATTACTGTTTAGATTTGCTAAATGTACAAGTTAGAATTTTAAATGAAATGTGAGAATTAATTGAATTTTTAAAAGGAATTTTCCTAATCTCCTGACTGGAAAGAAATCAAATTGACCTAAATGCTTGACATGTTTATCCCATAGTTTCATCCTTTTTTCACTGTCATTCCTCATTCCATTTTCTATTTGTGTTTGTTTGTTTGTTTGTGGTGGACCCCAGCAGCGCAGAATGCAAATTCTAATGCAGACTTTGCGAATTTTGATGCGTTTAATAATAGTTCTGCTGCTCAAACCACAGCGACATTTCCATCAGCTCCACAAGCCCTATTTCAACACGCACAACCAGGTACAAAACACATATGAACATCCATTTACCTCAGACCTCCTGTTAGAAATGGCTCATTGTCCAAGTTGTGTTGTTAGAAATGTCACATAATAGTTATTCTGTTTGTGTGTCTTTTTTCATTGCTGTTTATGTACATTATCACTTCTTAAACATTCTTCTTTTTTCAGTGGTGCTCTGGTTAAACTTTAAATTCTCTCTAATAAAAAAAGTCACTTGATGTTTCCAGTGGTGGGTGCAGAAACATCTGGTTGATTTTATTCTGTCATTTCAGTTCCTCACTATATCAGCTTGACTTATTTTTCTTCTGTTTTTGCTTAATTTTCTAAATGTGCAACTCTGAGCCAATTTGATCAAAAGTGACAGTTAAAGCATTTATAATGTTACAAAAGATTTCTATTTCAAATAAATGCTGTTCTTTTAAACTTTCCATTAATCAAAGAATCCTTAAAGAAAATGTATCAGTTTTCACAAAAACATTAAGCAACTGTTTTTGCATATTAGAACCTTTTCTGAAGGATCATGTGATACTGAAGACTGGAGTAATGATGCTGAAAATTCCACTTTTTATCACAGGAATAAATTATATATTGTAATATATATCACAATATTGCTGTTTTTACTGTATTTTTGATCAAATATATGCAGCGTTGGCAAGCACAAGAGACTTCTTTCAAAAACAAAAAAAATCTTACTGACGACAAACGTATTTTTTCTTCTTTCTTTATAGTTGTCTAATTTCTATTACTTTGACGTTTTTTCTTTTCTGCTTTTCTTAACATTCCTACGCTGTCATTCACTCATTTCCTGTGCGTTCGTCAGTATACAACAGTCTCCCATTTAGTCGCAGTGTGGGCGAGTTTACCTCATCGCTGCCTCCACTGGCCATGCACAGTAAGTCGCAGCTTGTGTGCCTGTCTGTGTCTTTCGTACACACGCTAACCCCCCAGTTAATTTGATACTGTTTTCCTACTTGTGACACTTCATTGCAGTGGAGTAAAATCTGATTTTCCTTATATATAAGCTATGCGCTCCTGATGTTGTTCCTGCGCAGAGGGAAAAAGCGTTTTGGGTCACATTGAGCTGTACTGTGAATATAACACACCATTCTTGAGATTAAGGGAAAAGCTATCTTGACACAAAGTTTTTAAATTGTGTTACATTTGTAATAATATAATAAATGCATTATTTTATAATAGTATGTATAATTCTATAATATATTTTTATTTGGACATAATATGCATTTTATGTATTTGTTATAGATTTATATATTTAAAAATAGTAAAAAAAAAT